GGGGATGCAGAGCGCGGGCCGCCGCTCGCTGCGTCCTCCGGCCGGTCCTGGGTGCCCTGTGCAGGGCGCTGCCCCGTGGGCGCCCGAATAACTCGTCTTTCCTCCTCGCCAGGCTTTTTGGAGAGGATACAGGCAGCGCAGGGCTTACCTGGAGAGGCTGCGCTACTTGCACGCCAACGCAGATGCTGCAGTAAAGGTGGGAAAGCTGGTCCTTTGGGGTCCGGTTTTTGCCCCCGCAGACATAGTTCGTATTGCTGTAGTTCGCATCACATCGGCGAAATGGCATTTACCTCCCTGCCCGCTGGAAAGGCAGCCGGCTCGAGGGAGGAACAGAGGGTCGGTGCACACGTAGCGTAGCTAACCTGGCTTTTGGCTGCTGGTCCTGTCCCAAACGCCGCGTGTTCGGAGATCTCCGCTGAGCACGGGCAGCAAAACCTGGCTATGAGCTTGGATTAGGTGGAGAACGTCTTGCAAAAACGCAGCCCTCTCCTTTCCCACCCGCTGTGCGGGCTGCGCTTCTCCCCAAACAGGTCCTCGGGGTGTTAAAACGCTGAACATCTCTCCTAGATCCAGGCGTGCGTGAGGATGTGGCAGGCTCGTAAGAAGTACCAGGAGAGGCTGCGCTACTTCGGGAGGAACGTGAGTGTTGGGGTGGGAGACTGCAAACGGCCCCCTAGAACAGCCCGGGGGAGATGCTGGCGGCTTGTTGCAGGCTGTTGGCACGGAGGGGCGAAAAAGTCCCCGAAAGTGTAGTCAAACCGCTGCCCCTGAGCACTTGCAGCACCTAGCTGGAGAGGGAGAAGCTGGTGCATCCTTGTGCTGGGACAGATGGGAAGGAAAAAGGGTCTCGTGCCTAGTGAGCTTGGCTGCCGAACTAGTGAGCTCTGTAAAGGCTGAAGAGAGAAAAATGCTCCAGCTCCTTGGAAAACCAACAGGGACTGAGAGATGCCTGCTAGAGGGGAGTGAAATTTGGGAGGGAAAGTGTCATCTGCGGTAAGCGAAGCTGCTCCTCTGGCGTTGCTGCAGCACACGAAAAGCAGCAATTGCGGAGGAAGCAGCTGCTGCTGAGGCTCCCCCCAAACAGAGGGCAAAATCCTGAAATCCCTTCTGGGTTTTGGATCCCCTTATCCCATGCCCCTGCAGGTTCCTGGAGTTGGGAAAGCCGGACAAGCAGGGAGGGAGCAAGTAGCCAGCTGCCTGGCTGCTCTCCGGTGCTCCAGCTTTGCTGCAGGGATGCTATGGGGAACCTTCCCTCCTCTTCCCTCCTTCACCCCCTTGTTTGTCTTGGCAGATTAAAGCTGTAATTAAAATCCAGGCTTTTGTGAGAGCTAACAAGGCCCGTGGGGATTACAGGATGCTGGGTAGGTGCCTGCTTGTCTCTGCTCTGAAGTGGCTATAATTAATTGGGGATGGCGATGCCTCCTTCTTCGTTTACCTGGCGCGGTGGCAGGCTGGCCTGAAGCACCCGCGTGGCAAACGTGGGCGGCAGAGGCTTGTCGCTGCTCTGCGCTGGTCCGAGCAGACTTGGGGCTGTTTGTGCTGCCCCTCTGCTCCCGAAGGCTTCCCTGGGGGGAGCCGTCGCTAATGCAGAGCCTGCACCCTCTGCGAGAAGCGACTGCCACGCAGCATCCTTGCATTGGAAGAACGTTTTGGGGGAGGATGGAGCGTTTTTGTGATATGCTGGGAGTGTGAGGTCCCACGTGGGACAGCCGCTCCGTCTTCTGGTGGGTGCTTACGGGGCTGCCATGCCTCCTTGCAGTCGGTGCCAGGAACCCACCTCTGAGCATCGTCCGGCGCTTTATCCACTTGCTGGAGCAGAGCCAGCATGACTTCTGGAAGGAGTCGGAGCTGCTGCGGCTGCTGCAGGAGGTGGTGAAGAGGATCCGTGCCAGCCGGCAGCTGGAGAGCGACTTGGACCTCATGGACATCAAGATTGGGCTGCTGGTGAAGAACAGGATCACACTGCAGGTCGGGGAGCACCCTGGGGTGGGGAAGGACCTCGGCCACCTCGTGTGGCTCTGCCGCGGTGCCTTGGCTGTTAAACGAGTACAAATCTGGCCTTACCTCCTTGGCATTACAGCTTAAACTTCTCTCTGCTTTGCTTTTAAAGCAATTCAAGGGATTTAGATACCTTCTAGGTGCCTCTGGCTCTTTTACCAGAAGCTAGGCTGAAATCTGGAGCTTGCTCACAGTTGCTAATGCTTCTGCTCTCTCCTTGCCCACGGCTTTTCCAGGAGGTGGTCTCCCACTGCAAGAAGCTGACCAAGAAGAATAAGGAGCAGCTCTCGGAGATGATGGCCATAGACAAGCAGAAGGGGCTCAAGTCGCTCAGCAAGGAGAAGCGGCAGAAGCTGGAGGCCTACCAGCACCTCTTCTACCTGCTGCAGGTGAGGGTTGCTGGGCTCTACCTGTGCCCACTCGCAGAGCCCTTGGTGTGAAGGCTGGGGCAGCCCCAGCTGTGCAGCACACACACGCTCCTTCTCTCTGCAGACCCAGCCTGGATACCTGGCCAGGCTCATCTTCAAGATGCCCCAGAACAAGTCCACCAAGTTCATGGAGTCTGTGATCTTCACGCTTTACAACTACGCGTCCAACCCACGGGAGGCCTACCTGCTGCTCCAGCTCTTCAAGGCAGCTCTGCAGGAGGAGATCAGGTGCGTGGCCACAGGCACAGGCGCCCCGGTTTAGGGAGAGATCTGGGAAAAGGCTGGGCCAGGAGCTTCAGTTCAGCTATGGATATTCCCTCTAGCTGTTGGCTCCTTGCCTTTGGCTACGGCCCTGTGCCGGGAGAGTGATTGTGACAGTTCATCACCTTCATCCTGTTGCTCTCTCCAGGTCCAAAGTGGACCACATCCATGACATCTTGACGGGGAACCCCACAGTGATCCGTCTGGTGGTCAGCTTCTACCGTAACGCCCGCGGGCAGAACGCCCTGCGGCAGATCCTGGGCGGTGCTGTGCAGGAGGTCTTGCAGGACAAGACCCTCAGCATCCGCACCAACCCCGTGGACATCTACAAGGCTTGGATCAACCAGACCGAGTCGCAGAGCGGGCAGAAAAGGTCAGATGCTGGGCAAGGATGCTTAGCCCAGAGGCAAGCTGATGGACTCTGTGACAGTGACGGGGACCTTGTCTTCCATCTACAGCAAGCTACCGTATGAAGTCAGCCCTGAGCAGGCCCTAAGCTACCCCGAGGTGCAGAGGCGGATGGATATTTCTATCCGCAACCTCCTGGTGATGACAGACAAGTTCGTCTCTGCCATCATCTCTTCTGTGGATAAAATCCCGTACGTATCTCAATGGCTTGTAGGCACCCTCCTGCTAGGTCTCTAGCCCGAAGGTAACTTCAGCGAGGCCCTAGAACGTGAGCTTGGACGATGGAGGTTCTCCCTGCCCCTTAGCTGCTGTAGGACTGAGTTCTCATGCTGCCAGGAAGGGGAAAAACAAGCATCAGCAGGCATTGCTGTCTCTGCCCTTCCAGTAACGCTCTGTCTGTCTGGCTCTTCTCACCTCTGCTTCTGAGTGCTTTGCTGCTGAGGTCGGGGTGTCTGTGAGGAAGAACCTGAGCTTTGAGAGGGGTCTCGGAGGATGAAGACTTCCTACAGGGGTGTCTAAGCAGGTAGTGAAAGGACAGGAGAGGGATTGGAGAGATCAGGGCTTGTGCAACCTCGAGCACTTTGCTGTGTTTATGGCTCCTCCATTTCTTCAAGGCTTTGGGACTTCCTATGTCACCAAGCACAGCAGCGACGCTCCCGTGTAACACAGAGCTTGGTCATCTAGCTGGAGGTCTGGCAGGATGGCCAAGTCTGGCCCTGCCCTGCCTGCTAACTGGGCTCTCTCCTTTCCCCTCCCCAGCTACGGCATGCGCTACGTGGCCAAAATCCTGAAGATGTCTTTGGCTGAGAAATTCCCCGAGGCCTCGGAGGAAGAGATCTATAAGGTGCCCGGGGATCTGCGCTACCTGGTGGGGGTTCAGCTGCGTATGTATGCAGCGGTCTAGGATCTCTTGCTCTCCGTTTGTAGAGTGGTTGTAATTTCTCTCTTGACTTGAAGTTGCCTTCAAGTTTGAATGATTTCCTTAAGCCACTGAGGAAATGTCAGCTCTGGACACTTCTCTATGCTGCTGTCCCCTCTGGGAGGGACCAGGAGCTCCCACCCTGGGCAGCATGAGCAAAAAACCATCTCTGCTGAGCCACCAGCCCACATCCTCCCCTAGCCCCGGCTGACACCCGCTGTCTGTCCTGTGCCCTAGATCGTTGGCAACCTGCTCTACTACCGTTTCATGAACCCGGCAGTGGTGGCTCCTGCCGGATTCGACATTGTGGACATCTCGGCGGGGGTAGCCCTGCCCCCCGCCCCCCGCCTCAACCTGGGCTCCATCGCCAAGGTGCTGCAGCACGCGGCCGCCCACAAGGCTTTTGATGGGGAAAACGCCCACCTGCGCGTGGTGAACCGCTACCTGGAGGACACCCACGACAAGTTCAGGTGGGCGCTGGGACGGCGTCAGCTCCACTTAAGGACATGCCTCGGGCTTTAGGGTGCATGGTGCTGAACAGCCAAGCACCTTGTCTGTCCGGTGGCAAGCAGATTTCTAGGATTGTGACCCTAGAAATAAAAAGGGGGACACGTTGGGGAGGAAGGGAGGGATCTAGCTAAAGCCATGGATTTTTGGGGCTTGCTGAGAGGTTCTTCTCTGCAGGGAGTTCATCTCTGCTGCCTGTTGCGTCCCAGAGCCAGAAGAACGGTTTAATGTCGATGAGTACTCAGAGATGGTGGCGGTGGCCAAGCCAGTCATCTACATCACAGTGGGGGAGCTGATTAACACACACAAGGTAAGGGCATGAGGTCCACCTGCAAATGAGCAGGTCTTGTACAAAACAGCCTCAGCCTGAGCCTTGGCGGCCTTGGCATGACGCTCATCGTGTGCGTTATCCAAAGCAAACTCCTGACTTCTCTGCCTGCTCTCCAAAAATGCCACGGTTGTCCTCAGTTGCCAATATAGGGCATCAGTGTCGTAGATTCCTCCCCGCCCAATGTAACTTCCCAATATCCTGCAGGAACCTTGATAAACTTTTGGCCCTGCTACGTCCTGTGGGGCTGAATCCTACAGTTTAAATGCGTGTTGCAGGGAAAAAGATTCCTCCTCTTCAGTCCCCATCTCCTGGGCTTTCTACTGTGTTTCATCATGCTCCCCTGCACCCTATCACAAGGACGGCTGTTCGTTATTTGATCGCTCTCCTTTTTTTTTATGCAAGCAAATGTTACAGATTCTGCAGATTCTCTGCTGTTTGTCTTTTCTTGAACCTCCCAGCTTTGCTGTGCTCTTTCTTTCGAGGGCAAAGGCAGCCACATTGTTCCCTCCCGGCATTTTTTCCTGAGTCTTATTTCTTTGCACCCCTCCCAGGCCCCTCACTCCTCTCTCTTGTATTATCCAGCTCCTGCTAGAGCATCAGGACTCCATCGCACCTCTTCACGGAGACCCCCTGCATGAACTTCTGGAAGATCTTGATGAAGTTCCTACAGTCCAATCCCTCGTGGGTATGTACAGCGCCCCTGTGAGCTTTGAGACCTCCCAAAGCCGCAGCAAACGGCACCTTCTGCTTGTCACAGCCTTCTCTGCATGTGGCTGAGCTCATCTTTCCCTGCAGAGCATCCGAGCCCTTGTTCCAGCTCACGTGGGTTTCTCGGAGCAGAGTTTTGCAGAGGTTTCTGCAACATCAGGGTTTTTCAATCTTGGGTTATGCAAGAGGACTAACTTTATAGGGCCAGAGTAGCTGGGATGTTTCCGTACTGTAATCCAGAGCGCAGTGTGACCTTGCCTCTAATATCGAGAGATTTAATCTTCTATAAATTAATGTGCTCCATTGCAGCTCGGGGGGCGGGAGTCTCCTTGCTCGGCATGCTGTTCAGTGCGTGCTCGGCATCCTGCACCCTCGGGTCCTCTGCAGACATGAGTTTGAGGATGTTTTTCTTGCACCAAAGGCTTGCCGAATCGGTTTGGGCATGGCCGCTCAGTCTTGGGCAGGCAGCAGGGCCCGGGGGCAACCATCTCCGCTCCTTGTGCTCCCGTGTGGCTACTTATTCCTTGCAGGCGAGGGTGTTCCCAGCCCAGCAGACGGCAGCACGGAGCAAGCGCTCTCCCAGCTTGCCAGAGCGGAGATCTCCCTCACCCTCACGAACAAGCTCGTGCTGGAGGCCAGCAGCGAGGAGGCCGACGTGAAGAGCTTGCTGCTGAGGTGAGGACGCGCTTCGGGGCGCAGGGCGTTGGGGACGCAGCGCAGGAGGCAAATCCAGCAGCCAGCGCCGTGCCGCAACCCGGCATCTCGTGGCCTCTTGCCAGCTTGACCTCAGGGGAGCGTGGTGGTGGGTCATGCTAGCTCAGATGTTAAAGGGAAGCAAGAAACGCTCCGAATATACTAAAAGACTTGTGGGAAGGAAACAGTCTGGAACAGGGCACCCGACTTCTCTTCCTCACCTCTAGCACCAAGCAAATGCTAGTGGACGTGATCCAGTCCCAGCCAGGAGATTCCCTTCCGGAGATCCTGTGGACGCCGGCGTCGGAGGACGAGGTGAGACGCTTGTGGGAGAAGCGCTGGCTGCCTCCCTTGGGGATGTATGCCAAAAACCTCTTGTTTAGGGAAAAAGGCAAACGTGCTACAAGCAGAAAGCTAGGCTGCTCCTCGTCCGTATGCCTCAGCGGTGCCCGGGCTCAGCGCAGGCGTGTGTCCGGCCAGGAAAAGCTCAAACCGAGTTGGGGGAGGATGTTTCAGTGCTCCATCTCCCAGCGTCCGACTCCAGCGATGCTCCTGTAAAATGTCCCTCCTACCTTGTCCCCCAGGAGGCCTCCCACTCCCATCTCATGCACAGACGGGCGCTGCAGGACGCCCGGACCCCCGACAAGCTGAAACGCAACCGCTCTCTGACTGGGAATAGCCAGCTGTCCATGGTGGAGAAGAAGCGTAAGGTCATCCGAAACCTGCGGCGCTTGGAGAGCCTGGGCATCGTGGACTCGGCTGATGGATACCAAGGGATCGTTAATGAGATGGCCGAGGTGAGCTGGCGGCCTGGTGCCGCGCACAGAAGAGCGAGCGGTTGCTTGGCCAAGGCCCCGTAGGGTGGAGGGTGCTGCAGGGCTTGAGGTGACACCGAGGCGTGTACCCAAGTCGGGAGGTCTCCCCTTCAAACCCACCTAGGGACCTATTCCGGGACCTCGTTTGAAGTTCTGGGTAGGTGATACCGGCTTTCTCACAAGGCTTTATTTTCCTCAGGATATCCGCAATCAGAGGCGTTACCGGCAGCACCGCAAAGGGGAGCTCCTGAAACTGAGGCAGACCCTCCAAGGCCTCAACTCCAAGACCTTATTTTATGAAGAGCAGATCGACTATTACAACCAGTACATCAAGACCTGCCTCGACAACCTGGCAGCCAGCAACAAGTAGGTTTTCTTTGTTTGATTGGTTGGGGTTTTTTGGTGCAAAAAAACCCCCCAGATCCCTCTCTGGATGTTGTGAATGTTTAATGCTCGTGGGGTTAGAGGGGTTATCTACAGTTAAAGACCCTTTCATGAGAGACTGAGTCTGCGGTCCCATCTCTTGCAGGGTCAGCGGGAAGAACAAGAAGCTGCAGTCATTGCATTACACGGCAGCCCGGCTGTTTGAGAAGGGGGTGCTGCTGGAGATCGAAGACTTGCCGGTCAGCCAGTACGTAGTCTGAGAGATGAGCTATTGCAGCGTAATTTTGGGGGCAGGTAGAGCAAAACCACCTGGAGAGGTGCCCGCGGGCCCATCCTCCCCACGGATGTTCGAGGTGTTACTGGGATTTGGAGATGGCTTTTTGAGTTGTAGATCTAGATTCATCCCTGAGGATGGAACCGCCAAATAGTCCCAGATGGAGCAGCAAGGGGCCCGGCGTTGCCATCTGGGTCGTGCTAACCCCTGCCGTTTCCTTTAGGTTCAGGAACGTGATTTTCGACATAATCCCCTGCGAGGAATCGGGCAAGTTCCAGGTGAAAGCCAAGTTCATGGGCATCGACATGGAGAAGTTCCAGCTCCACTACCAGGTGGGCAGCCCGTTCCTGTGCTTGCGCGCGGCTGCTAACGGGCTCTCGATGCTGCCGCGGGAATGGGGTTGAACCCAGGAGTCCAGGCTCAGCCCAGGGAGTGTGGGAGATGGACAGTCCCCCCAAAACCCAGCTGATCGAGGGCAGCGGCCAGAGCTCATCTGGAGCCGTGCCCCGAGGAGGGGACAGACTCGCTGCACTGTGAGGAAGCATCTCCTCGCTGTGTTTCCTAATGCGAACCCGGCTCCTCGCTGGCTTCCCTCTTCCCTTGGGGCCACCAGGGGCTGGGAGGGGGTTGCTGCTGGGTGCTGAGGTTGGGAGAGGCTCCAAACTGGGGACTGGAGCCCACCCCGGCTGTGCCACTGACATCTCTCCTCCAGGACCTGCTGCAGCTGCAGTACGAGGGCGTAGCTGTCATGAAGATGTTTGACAAGGCCAAAGTCAATGTCAACCTGCTCATTTTCCTCCTCAACAAGAAGTTCTTCAAGAAGTAACTGGAGCATGGGCGGGGAGGAGGGGAGGGAAGGGTGCTTCCGGGCATCCCGGGGTGGGGGACAGATGGGAATTAAAAACCTGCCAAAGAGAAACCTTGGGGCCGAGCAGTCCCCTCTGCAGCGGTGAAAGCTGCCTCCACAGGTCTCGTGACCCAGCACGCTTGAGGTCTTGCAGCTAGACTGCATCTCCCTGGGGAGAGCAGAGGGCTCCCTTTCCCCGGATGGTGGAGGCGATGTCTTCCTTTCCCACCACGCTCCAGCCCCAAAAGCAAGGGCTCCCTGAAACTAGTTTGAACTGAAGTTAGATGTGGCACTCTAGGCAAGCTGCTTTTGGCTCCGATTTCTGCTCAAAGCTTGACCAAACCCTGGCCAACCCAAAAAAGCATCATTATGAGCTCTCTGCAAACCAGCTGGGAGCATCTCTCCCTTTCAGGCTTGGCTCTGGAGCAAATCGGTACCTGAATATTTAATAGGTGACAGTCTCCCTCCAGGAGGGAAGACGTGGCTGCTGCATCTTTCACGGCATGCATAACTGTTTTTAAAGCTTGTATTTGCGGATATTTTGGCTGTTTAGTTCCTGTGTCACTAACAGCTGGCTGCTTAAGGACACTAAGGATTTCTGGACACTAGATAACTTTTTAAGTAATGAAATAAAGGTATTCTAATATTTTTATTCCCCCCCATCTAGTTATAGATGGGGAAACGTCAGCATTAGACTTTGTATGGGGGTCAGGAGAGCGGGAATACAGAAACGGGCTTTGCAATTACTGCTTGCAAAGACGCCACGGGCTGTTCCCTAGGCAATCCAGGTACAATAGAAAATCGGTGGCTGCGCTCTCGAGCTAGACCGTTGGGAGAAATAGCGAAGGGGAGGGTCTCAACGGCCGGTTGACACCGAGCCGCCGGTGTCCCTGCCCCTCCCGGGCCGCCTTGGCCGGCGGGCCGTGCTGCGGCAGACCGCCCCCGCCGGACTTGTCCGTCGCAGCCGCATTGACACCTAGCGGCTTTGGGGAACAGCATCCTCCGCTTTTCCTGGTGGGAAGGGAGAAGGTGTGCTCAAGGTCACCCGCGCACCACGTATCCCTTCTCCGCTGCGGGGTTTGCATTGCCACGGGCTGTTAAAACAGTTTTTTTTTTTTTTTTTTGGGCCGGTGGCAGTGGCTCCCCTCCAATCGATGAGTCAATTCCTGTCGGCGCGATGCTCTGTGCAATGCAAGTGCCAGGGGGAGAAACGGGCTCTCCAGCGAGCGTGGAACAGCCTGGAGCTCCCGCCTTGGCCGGAGCGGTGGCTGCTCCGTTCTCGATTCATTTCTTTACGGTGTTTAATCAGTTTTTAATGACTGAGCTGCTTTAGGAGCAGCACCGAATCGGCATGCACTTTCTGCTCTGGGTGAGCTCCCTTGCTGCACCGGCCCCGGGCTCAGCCCCAGCAACTCCAGCTGCCCCCTGTCTTGTCTTTGGAAGATGTGTGTGTGTTTGTGGGGTTTTTATGTATTTTTTTTTCCTTTCTCTTCTGTCATGCAAATGCTGTATATGGCACTTCTGTCCCTGCCGCGTGTGCATTGCATCCCAGCTGCGCTGCTGTAGCTCCTCGGTCTGATTTATTCTAAATAAAACATGTATGAGAAAACAGCTGTGAAACCACTCCGGGTGCTCGTCTTGCCTTAAAACAGGCTCTGACCTTGGGCCGTCTCCGCTTTCCGGGTGCTGGCGGATCCCCGCGGTTTCCCACAGCAGCCCCCAGGCCCGGGTTGGGGATAAGTGGGATCGGGGCTGGCGCGGGCTTCGCTCGGGCTGTGCTGAGTCAGGCGCCGAGGCAGCAACTCAGCGCTTGCACGGGGAATTTAGGCCACTTTCGGAGGCACTTAATTCTCAAATAAATACTATGATTACATCTCGTAAAGACTATGATTATATCTCTAAAGGAATGAATTGGGATCAAGCTGCAGCGCTCTTCAAGTTTTAAAATAGGACCAGGCTGCGGTTAACCTGTTGGGTGCTGCACCAAACTTTGCGAAAGCGTTTGGGAACTGCCTGGGTGGGTAGAAATTTTTTTTCTCCTCCTTCCTTTCTCTTTGGAAGCTGCTCGGTCCTTGGCTGGATGAGCTGGTCAGCTCTGTAGCTGCAGCTCAGCCAGCTTCAAGTACCTCCAGCCTGCTCCCACCGATGCTATCAGCTTTGCTGGAAGTTGAGCTCCTGCTGCGATGTTTATCCTGAAAAAGAGATTTCAGGGTGTCTTTTTTGGAGATGGACCTGCCTTGCCTTGCCTGATTATAATAATCCTTAATTCTTCGCCTTGCATCTGCCAGCGCAGGGTGAAGGGGCTCTTGGGGCTGCCCTGAAGCTCTGCTCTGGCTCTGCAAAAGCCAGGTGGCAGAGGCTGGTTCCTGCCCACGCTTTTCGCAGAGGAGGTTGCAGGGGGGAAGTGAGCCCTGGAAATGTCAGCGAGCGAATGTCAGATGGCGCGGGCTGAGCGATTTCCCAAGGCAGCTCCACTAGACACGGCGTATTGCAGCTGTCGGGCCCCATATGGGCGCGTGGATAGCACCGATGCAGAGCGTGCAACCTGAAGCAGGGAAAGGGTTAGAGAAACTGAGGCACGCGGACAAATGCAGCTTGTCCCGGGCTGCCTGGCAGAGCCCTCCCAGTCCCGGGTGCAGGCACATGGCAGCCGGCCAGGCTGTCCTCAGCCTCCCCTCTGCACCCCGAGGTGCCTGGCTCGTGCAGGGGCTGCGCAATGTTTGCTCAGTCTGGGAAATGGGACAGGAAGGTAGCTTTTGCTCTGCCCTATTGCTAAAACCAGATTGAAAAAGCGTTATTTGGGGAGAAAGGGGGAAAGTCTGGGCTCTGAGGTTCATAGTGCACGTAGCCCTTTGCAACGCCAGCCGTGAGATGGGCAAGAGCGGGTGTGCACGTGCATCTTCAGGTGCACGCGTTGCATTTGCACTAAATTCCCTAACTGACCTCCATGCATCTCCAGGGTCCCGCGGCGATGCTTTTCCAGCCCCGCAGAAAAGCGCGGGGCGCTGCCGAAGGCACCACATCCCCAGTTGCCATGCAACCCCCTGGCAGCTCCCTTCCTCCAGCCCCTGCACCGGCTCCCTCATTATTTATTGCCTCCAGCAGCATGCCTGATCTGACAGAGTGATGGGCTTTAAAAAATAAAAAAGACCATGAGAAAGGGCTCCCAGAAGTATACCTGTATCTGCATGCGGATACGCGTGCATGCGAGAGAGAAAAATGGGTATGGGTGATGCCTTCAGTACTTTGGATGCAACCGAGGCGGCTACCAGGGAGTCAGCACAAACCCCCGGCCCGCTGGACTTGCAGCCGTTAAGGAGATTGGAGGCGGCTGCCAGGTGCAATCAGGGGTGACGGTACAAAGTGGCCCACCTGGGGCTGCTGTCCTGCTCAGGGTGGGAGAGGGCACCCCTGGGGCCAGGATTTCCCAGCTGCAGCCAATTTTGGCAGGGGGAGGTTAGACAGCACCGAGGAAGGGTGGCTGGGGGTTTGCTGTCCTGGGCCATCCTGCCCTTGCGTTGGGAAGCTTGCAGGAATCTGTGTGTCGGAAAAGGTGGAAAAGTTGCAGAACCAGCCCCAAAAAGGTGCCAAAGCGCTGCTTAATCCCCCCTGCTCAGGCAGGGCTGGGGCAAGGCGGCTCGACGGCAGCGGTGCTGAGCCGGCCCCGGAGAGCTGGTGTCACCGCGTGGCAGAGGGGCGTCACGTGCCGCGGAGAGGCTAATCCCGGTCGGCGAGCCCTCTCCCGGCTAATCCGCTGCGCCCGCACGGCTGCACGGGCTCTGGCTCCCGATTTACCGCGGCGCGG